CCCCAAAACCCCAAAACCCCAAAACCCCTTGAAACGATTCAAGCTTATAAAATTGGGTTAGGTATTTTTGATTTATGAAATAAATAAAGTCACTATTAACTAAAGCAGGCGAGCTGATCAGAAAGTGAAACTACAAGTCATCATTAAGTCAAGTCCAATATTCTGATACAAGTTTACCAGCAATTTAAGAATAATAGGTTGATACCTTATTGATAGATCAGAAATTGATAAGGTTTCTTATTCTTGATATATGAACTTAATATTTTAGGCTAGTGTAGTGGCTTGAGTATCAGTCAAACTAAGTTCTTTAATTTTAGGCAAATCATCACATAGAAGTGGAAGTTTTTATGCAGTTATTCTACTTTTAATCTCATCAGTGAGGTACACATAGTTCTAAGTTAATGGACAAAGCACTTAAGATGGTTTGTAATTGGCTTTGTAGACACTTTTTTGACAGTCTTAAAAGTAATACCCCATGTAATAGTATTTAAACTCTGGATCAAATACTTCCATTATTCTTTAGACATATTCAATCTCTCTAACAGCTGTGAAGACGCCAGGAGACAAAAATTCAAACTTGGGGTTATAGTAAAGATACACACTGGACAAAACGTTAGGAGTGATATCTATGACACCTACAGCAAATACTTCACCATCTATTTTATGAACCATATGATATCCTCCCAAGTGTTCAGGCCAAACCCCTTCATCTTTGTAAGTTCTAATGTTATCAAAGTCATCTAATCTCTAAGGACTCTTAAAATTATTTTCTCTTTAATCCTTTGGATCAAATAATGGATTTTGACATAAAAATCTTTTGTAGCCTGATGGATGCTTCTCAATATCTTTGTGAACTGTCTGCTAGTACTAGCTATAAACTTCAAAGCATTCCTTATTATAGAGAGCTTTTGAAATTGTTACTGTGTATGAATGTTTAAGTTCTTGACCTTCTTTTAATTCTAAAGGAACATGCTCTTTGAAATATTATTAATATAGAAGATTTTCCTAAACACCTTGAGACTTACTAATTTCTGGCTTTGCATCCTCCTTCTTTTCCTCCACTTGCTTATGTGACTTTTTTTATTGGGTCTTATCTTTTTCTTTTTAAGCTTACTTTGTTTCTTCTACTGCTGTGTCTTTTTCTAAATTAACAAAGGTTAAATAGCCTGAGTCTTCAATCTTAACACTACTATTCTCCTGATTGAATACTAATTGATTTATTAATCTGAGTTCATTGACGAAATCTTTTATAGATTTCAAATTATGTGGCATTTTATCCTTTTTATCAGCTTTAATCTAGAAGAATAGCTTTATTAGAGTATTTGTTGACCAACTCAGAGTATCTTTTAGTTGTTTATCTTTAGACTTGTTAATGATAGAAAATTTCACTAGCTCTTAGTATTATTACTCACTGATTCCTTCAAAAACCTCTTATTGAGGGTAGTTAGTTGTTATATCATTTAGAATGCTAAGTATTTGAGCATGTTTGACTTGATTCACATCTTATTCATTTTACTTTTGCTATAACTTGCTTTCCTCTTATATTTGCATTTTAGTTTCTACAGCTTTACCATCCATTCCAATTTACCCTAGAAGAAATTTGTTGAACTTTTTCATAACCTTTCTTTAAGACTAGCTTATCTGATATTCTGAGGCATTCAATCTGATAGTAAAAGGTTAGCAGCATGACTTTTCGAAGTCATACTTGTAGTAATATCCTCCGCATCTTCTCCAGCCTCTATCCATCAATTTCTGATAGTCTTACACTGTCATCTTGTTAGAAACAAGACCCCATTAAACAGCTCCCTAGGAGCCTTTCTTACCTCCACAATATCCACAATGGCCCGATTCATTTTCATTAATATGGCACCCATTCAGATTTATGATAGTTTTACCTTTTGGTAATCCTTATGTTGTTTGCATTTTCGTAAGTTTTAATTTAATTTATACAATTCCCAAATTATATCAAGTATTAGATACAAGGGGTTTTGGGGTTTTGGGGG